TGCTTTAGACCACATTGAAGCAATCGGCCGTTTCTCGCCCGATCAGCTGAAGGGCAAGGGCAAGGGCAAGGGCAAGACACCCGACCCAACCGATCTCACAGATGACCCAACCACAAGCATTCACCAAAGCGACCTTATTCACCCATATACACCCCCACAAACCATGGCACCACCTCGCACCACACCACCACCTGTGACCCACACCACAACACATGAGCACTCACAGCAGATCGCACCTCAGCCAGCTACGACACCTGACTTCCCACACACAGCCCTAGCACCCAAGCCATCTTACACCTGTATGCGCTCAGCCAACAGCTGTATTTCACCCCCACGACCAGTGAACCTCTTCCCCACTCACCCACCACAACACACCAACCCACAGCAATGTGACCCCACCCAAGTTTACAACATCCGCATTCCCCTACAGGGACACGCCACACTGACGGCTATCGGGCCGATCTCAGCACCACCCGCATCTACATCCAACAGCGCACCCACCATTTACTACCTGCCCACACCCACCAACATTCGACCCAATCATCCAGAAGCGGGCACGGGACCTCCTGGACCCTGGTGGGATGATGCTGGAGCGCCACCGTGAGAGAGCGCCAGACCTAATTCAAGGTCTTTGATTCTATGTACATGGTTTTTGACCCAATGCTTTCAGCATATCGATCCTTCCAGCTATTGCAAAATACTTCCAGTATTGATTCTATTTTTCTTTCTTATTTCGATCTTCGAGATTTTCGTTTTTCGATTTTCTGACGCTTACCACTCGAGCTTCGGACGACTGTTCAACTTCGAAATCTTCAACTTCGCTCCAGTCTCAACTTTTTCAACACTTCAGCCATTGTGGTTCAAACAATCAGTTTCGACTACCCTCGTGCTCAACGCTCCTTTTTGTACGGAACTACAGTGTTCCCCATCATGGACGCGCATCAACAATGGTGGCAACAATACTATGGCACCACGACACCCACTGCCGGCTATGGACCTCTCACCAACGCAGTGCGTCATCACTACCAACACCCTTATCATCAACATCATCAACATCACGCAAACATCCCTACCGATCCACCCACAGCCTCTCCAGCACCACCCGCAACGTTTCCACCCGAACCCTTGCCCCCACCCGCAGCATCTCACCACCCAACGCCTCCACAGCTTGGCGTTGTACCCCCCAACATTC